TCAAAAAGTGTTTCCTTAAGTCCAGTCGGTAACCTTCCCGCCCTTAATTTAAACCCATGATTGCGAGTCCTCTCCTCTGCTGCCACCAGGAACAGCTCAAAATTTAATGATAATTTTTGCAAACTATGGAGTTGTCAAAAAGATAGGGAGGTAGAAAGGGAAAATGTCTGGATCTACAGCAAAGGAAGGATCTGGGGAAATTATAAGATGGGTGTTCAAAAGCAGGGGATTGCAGCTGAGTGGGTCAGAGTTTTTGTTTTAATTGTTTTAACTTGTCCTATTTTTATTGCACTTGGTGCCTTAACTGTTCTAATCTTGTTGTATTTTATTGCACAGTTGTGCCTATATAAGCCGCCCTGAGCCCGCTTGCGGGGAGGGCGGGGTATAAGTGAAATAAAATAAATAAATTATAAATAAGAGAAGGCCTTTCGTTGGCCATGACCCAACCTTCCTACAGGGATGGATGCTGCTCAAAGCAATATTGCGGCTGGCAGACGCATTTCATCCTAATGACCGTTCCCAATCAACCGGATTACTAAAGAAATCCAGAGGTGCTCATTATCTGCCTTTGCAATGCAAAAAGTAAACCCCGTGACTTGTGGATATGGCAGTTTATTTATTTATTTTTCGTATTTGTATCCCGCCCATCCTGTGAGCGGGCTCAGGGCTGGTCACATCATCTTCCAACAATACAGTAAAGTTTAAAACACAATAAAACATTTACATCATAAACGTTTAAAATCAGTAGTTATTGCTGCAGGTGAAAATGCCGACCCCTTCTGATGGATATGGCCGGTTGCTGGCAGATGGGTGGCTGGCAGGTGGGAAACGGCAACCTCGGGGAGGCCATCTGTGGACGCCTGCAGCCTCAGCCAAAGGCCTGGTGGAAGAGCTCCGTCTTGCAGGCCCTGCGGAACTGAGTAAGATCCCGCAGGGACCTGATCTCGATGGGGAGCATGTTCCACCAGGTGGGGGCCAGGGAAGAAAAGGCCCTGGCCCTGGTTGAGGCTAAACGGACATCTTTTGGGCCACGGACCGCCAGGAGACATTGATTATTAGAGCATCAAGCTCTCTGAGGCGTATACGGGAAGAGGCGGTTCCTTAGGTATGTTGGTCCCAGGCCGTATAAGGCTTTGAAGGTACCAGGGGTCATTTCCTGCAGGAGCGCACAGGATCGAAGCTCCGGCAGTAAAGAGCCCAGGGGGGTGGGCACATGCAACAAGCCCCACCCCCTGCTCCCAGCAGCACTCAGTCAGAGCAAGAAGCAGCCAGGTAAGCTGCAGAGCCCCCCCACCCCCCCGGTCCAAAACCGTCCAGTGGCGGAAGATGGAATTGGCAACCCTATGTGACAACCAGAGGACCTGGTGTCAATTAGACTAGCCACCTCAGAGCGAGGACTCTCAACATGGGTCAGCCATTTTGGATTGTACCCCAGCCTGTGCTTCTCTCAGCGCTGAATCTTACCCTCAAAACAAAAGCAGTCACAAAACACGGATGTCCTAGTGGCGTCTCCAGAAAGGGCAGAAAGACAAAGCAAAGACCTCAGACCAGCATACTGCGAGTAGCGCAATTCCAAAGGAAGGATGGAACCGGTGCCTGGAAGAGATTTCAGCAGACAGGCAAGAATTCTGTATTATTACACAGAAGGGAAGCCATATGCAAGGGGAGAGAAAGGTACAGTCAGGGGTCATTTCCTGCAGGAGCGCACAGGATCGGAGCTCCGGCAGTAAAGAACCCAGGGGGCGGGCACATGCAACAAGCCCCACCCCCCTGCTCCCAGCAGCCCTCAGTCAGAGCAAGAAGCAGCCAGGTAAGTTGCAGAGCCCCTCCCCATCGGCCCCCCGGCCCAAAACAGTCCAGTGGCTCCTTTAAGACCAAGTTTTATTCAGGCACAAGCTCTCCCTCCTCTGCGAGGACAGATCTGCACGTTCCACCCCCCAATAGCTAGCAATCCAAAACAGTCCAGTGGAGCCTGAGCGGTGGGTGTTGCCTTCTGACACACTTCCGGTGATGTCAGGGGGTGTGGCATATGCATGCTAATGAGCTCCGGCACCTCTTTTTCTACGAAATGACCCCTGGATCCAAGTCATACTTTTTGCTGCCCGAAGATGGATGAAGGCCCCTTTAATTCCATTTCAGACCGAAATCTCTCAGACAGGGAGTTGATTAGCCTGCGTGGCCCTTTTCTAATAGCTTGTAAATCATTTTTTTCTTTTCTTTTTTTTTTGCATTCGGAAATGGCAGCATATCTGTTGAGGGATGTGCGATAATGCCCACACTTGCAATTTGAGTCCAAATAATTGCTTTAGGAGCGCTGCATAAACAAATCTGTTCTTAAATAATGATTGTGATAAATCAAGAACGGGGGAATAGCGGCCTCTCTCAAAATGTACTCAGGCTGGGTATTGTCCACCTCTGCGGCAGGAGGCCCCCTGGGTAGGGTTCGAAGGGCAGATCGTGCAAAACTTGTGCTTACTGAAATCTCTCTGCAAGTTTATAGCACCCCCTGCGCCCCAAATCCCAGTCCTGTTTACTCAAAAACAAACCCCGCTGAGTTCAGTGGGGATACGTGAGAAGAACATAATAAATATTACAGATGAGTAGCCCAGATATTTATTATATTCTGCCTCGACCGCAGTCCTGTGAGGATCCCTTCTCATTTTGGAGGCAAGGAACTGAGGCCGGGGGGAGGCTCGGCAGCTCTGAAACTTTACCAACCACAAAGGGGGGGTCTCCTAAAACTTTCACTGATTTCCCCCAACCTTTCCAATCCTCCCATGTTGGCACCAATGCTCCCTCTAAGCTGTGGAGCCTCGTGCGCAAAAAACCTCACTTTCTGAGCTCCTGGCATTAAAGTCGTGAGCAAGCGATTTGCCTGCTCCATAACTTAGATTGCTCCGGAGCCCTCCTTCCTGAGCTAAGACAAAAATGTGTGAGCTGGAGGCTAGAAAATGGTGAGCTGGCTCACACTAACTCAGCTTAGAGGGAACACTGGTTGGTAGGCAGGTGAAGAAGAGGAGAGTCTTTCCTCACCTGCCTGCACAACTCCCACAGCGAGAGTTGTGGGGCGTGGGCTACGAGTGAGGGGGCACTGCCCCTTAATGCCCCACTGTGATTAACACATGGAATTCACTGCCCCAGGAGGTGGTGGCGGCTACAAGCATGGAGAGCTTCAAAAGGGAATTAGATAAGCACAAGAGGGGACCCACAACAAAATGTTGCGTAATGTGTTGTGGTTTGTTTT